GCGTTGAGGGGTGGGGAGGGGCTGGAGTTAGCCTTCACCAGTCCTGAACAGCAGGCAGGGGTACTCCAGCATCCTCTGAGGAGGCTGCTGAGCCCCCCCGTCTCCCCAGCCCTATCCCCTCTAGCCCCACCCCAGCTCAGGGGCTACCAGCGAGGGAGGAAGAAGGGGAGGGAGCTCCCGGCTGCTGAATGGCCAGAGCTGAGGGACAGCGGGAGGGAATGAAGACCCCTCTCCTCATGGGCCCTCCCTATCTACCCCAGTTGGGGTACTGGGGGGTAGCTGGGGGGTGGCGGTGGTGAGGCAAGGGGGCTCTGTTTCCCACCCTCTTCCCCTCAGCTCTGGCCATTCAGCAACCAGGAGCTCCATGCTGGCTGCTCCTGGCTTCTGAATGGCCAGAGCTAAGGGGGAGTGGGTAGGGAATGAGGTTCTTTCACCTTGTGGGCCCCCTCCCAGCTACCCCAGCTGGGGTATTGGGGGTAGCTGGGGGGGCCATGAGGTGAGGGGGCTCTATTCCCTGCCGCCTCCCCCTCAACTCTGGCCATTTAGCAGCTTGGAGTTCCTTCTCCTTCTCCCTCCCTTCCCGCCCCACCATGCAAAAAATTAACCCTGGAGGGAACACAAGTTCCCTAGCGTGCTCTGCTTTTGAACACCTCAATGTAATACCTAATTTCACCAGATTCATTTTTTTCATGTGATAAGCCATTTTAAAAGTGCTCTGCAGCCATGCACATGTGTTATGACATGACTGCAGAGTGTTTTCAGGGGCCAGATTGCTTGAAAAATGTCACTTTTGTCTGCATCTAAAAAAGAACTTTTTGCTATGAGGTTGGTCAAGCATTGGGACAGGCTACCTAGAAAAATAGTGGAATCTCCATTCCGGGAAATTTTCAAGACCACGTTGGACAGGCACTTGGCTGGGATGGTTTAGTCAGGGATGATCCTGATTTCAGCGGGGGGCTAGACGAGATAACAATGTGATGTCTCTTTTAGTCCTGCTTTCCTATGATCCTATAATATGTAGCTTTGGTCTTTTCTTTCTACAGTGGTCAATGATGGTGACCTTGAACAACAACTTGAACAAGTCACCTCACTGAACCCTTTAAACTTCACAGCAGCAAAAGGGCAAGAACTCATGTCTTCCTATAGGTTGAACTGAAAGAGAATCTGCATTGTTTCATAGCAGGGCAGGGACAATGACAGGCATATGTGATTAACCAATGGCTGTTGATGATCACTCTAAACCTGTACAAAGGCTTCAGATTTCAGAACAAGCTGTGCAGTAAGTACAAGAGTGCTATACGACTCATGAATGACACAAGTAGATTTCCCCAAAGTGAAAAAGGTTGTTAGAGGGCTCTGGTGTACAAACACAATCTACTTTGGCTCTTTCTACTACAAGTATGTGTTGTAATTATATAGATATTTACAGTCCATGGCATTTTCTCATGAAGTTGCATGTGATTGACCTTCTTCAACAAAAGTATATTTCAGAGCCTAAATCTCTCCCTCTCTCTAATTTTGAGAGACATAAATGAGGAGAAAGAAGGCAAGGAACATTTTCATTGTCCAATACTCATTATTTGAGCCCTATTTGCAAATGATGCCATGTGAAGTCACGTCTACCTGTGGAGTCAGATACTTCCTTTTTCATGACTACTTATCCATTCTGCTGCCATGCCCCAGCTCATTTGAAAGCTGCTGGCTACACTGAAAATAGGCCGAGTCATGCACTGAAGCTGCTTCAAAGCAAGAAATCTGAGATGCAGCCTAGATTTAGCATAATCACATGCCTTATTTGGATACTGCGGAAAGTGTGTGGACAGTCTTTTAATAGAAACTCATCATGTTTTTAAATGCAATTAGGTTTTAGCATACTAATCCCAAACAGGAGCCCTCAATAACTGGCCCTTCCTTTCCTGTGCTCCCTCCCCACTACTCAAAGCCCTGCACTAAACACTGGATAATGTAATTCTTGAATGTAGCATACAGAACTGAACACAATATACCACTCTGAACAAGTGTAAGGTGCAGCAAAAATGTGATTCAACACTGACTACTGATGATCACTCCAAATTTGTACAGAGGCTTCAGATTTCAAAACAAGCTGTACAATAAGTACAAGAGTGCCATATGACTAAAAAATTACATGAGTGGATTTCCCCCAGGTGAGAAATGGCTACACAAAAAGCCAGAATGAGATGCTTTCTTAATTGAACTTTAAAATAATATAAATGCTGTGACAAAGAAGAAAGCTATGAGACTGAAGGCTGAGGCTGGCATTCTATCTTGAACCTAGGTCCTTGTGAAAAATAATTATCGATCTCCATTTCAACCCTTAAAGTTAACATGGAAGCTTATGATTCCCATTTGAGTGTGGGGATGAAAGAGTCACTTAACAGGCTTAAATGTAATTATGTTTTATTGCAAGCACTGTAATTATTTAAATACTCAGTCACATTTGCTGTTTGGTGTTCACATCTGTTTCCTAAATTTTGTTTCTTTTTAAATCACAATTAAGTTATGAAAATGGAGAAAAATATCAATGCATTTCCAGCAATCATTTAATTTTTAATTTAACCTAAATAAATTATTTGAAAAAATAGTGGAAAATAGCTTTCTTGGGCTGAGTCTTTGTTGCTAAATTTTAATACAGGGCATATATTTGCATCTGAGATGTGACTCCTAGATGCAGTATTTTAAAATGAAACCACACATGAACTTTAAATATAATAAGGGGCCTCTCTCAGTTTTTTCTACCTCTCTGAACATGATTACTGTGTTCCATCCCACAGCACAAATAGTTTGGACATTATTATTCAAATAACAAGAAGGTATTATTATTCAAATAATATTTTTTGGATTCTTCCTTCTTTCTTATTCAAAACTTTGGCCTTCCTTAAATGGCAGATTTTTTAAGCGGTGATGGTATTATCTATTAAAATTGATCTGATATGATTAAAATAAATATCCTAAAATTTCCTAGCAAGTTAACTGCTATCTTGTCAACTTATACACCAGGTTTGTTGTTTGCAAATTACTCCGAATATTGCATTATCAGAAGGCAGACCCTCCTGCAGCTAATGTGTATAGTCATAGCTCCATAAAAAATGAATGACAGCTTAAACTACCTGAGGATCTGCCCTTGGTATACTATTTTTAGATGCACATATATTTATATTTAATTCTTAATCAGATAATATTGCCTTTTATAGGAATAAAGATCCAAAGGGACCGCCTGATTCACCAAGTCCCATCTCCTGCTAATGCAGGCACATCATCATATGGCTTTTTTCCCCAATATACTATATATATTACACTATTTATTAATTTTTATTCTTTCTTGATGGCTTTTCTGGGAGGTCTGCAGGATTGGGAGCAATCTGAAAGTGTTAAATAAGACAATGCTTAATTTAAAAAAAATGTATACCAGCTGTATGAATGCTACATGATGGACTCTTGCTGAGCTTCTTAAAGTGTGGAAGTGAAGTGGGGTTTTTAGTTTGGTTTTCGTTTTGATTTTAAAGAGAAAGCACTTGGTTCCAGAGGTTCTGATTGCACTAAGCAGAGGCTGAAGTTAACCAGTGTCTAAATTAGTAGGAGTTACTCTAATGCAAAATGTATTATTTAATAACTAAAGGTTACAAGAGGAGTAAGAATTCATAAGTGAAATAAAAAAGGACTTTTGCTTACCTCCTAAAGCAGTTTATTTTCATACAGACATTGGCCTGATTCAGAGGAGCAACTTGGCTGTTTTTGGCACTTCTGGCACCCTGGACAAAGGGGCGGGGGGGGGGAGGGGGGCTTCTGTGCCCAGGTGGGGGGGAGGGGGAGGGGTTAC